TATACAAAATCAACAGCAACAGCAATAGCAACACTACATCTACATACAGTTGACAAAGAATATATGACTACTACACAAATCTTTTACGAGACGGGCATTTTTTATTAACGGAGGCGGGCATTGCAACAACCACCGTCCAAAGGCCACGGTTAATCTGGGATTAACGGAGGCGGTTGCTTTGCCCGCCTCGGTTAATCAATTAACTGAGGCGGACATGTTAATTCCGATGCTGCGCGTTATTGGATCTCTGTTATACGAAATCAACAGCAGCGGCAACACTACATCTACGTACAGTTGACAAAGAATATATCAATACTACACAAATCTTTTAAGAGGCGGGCATTTTTTATTAACGGAGGCGGGCATTGCAACCGTCTCCGTCCAAAGGCCATGGTTAATCGTTGATTAACGGAGGTGGTTGCTTTGGCCGCCTCGGTTAATCAATTAACCGAGGCGGGTACGTTAATCCTATAAACCGAGGCAGCAGACATCTTAAAATGCCCGCCTCCGTTAATGTTCTCCAAAAAAACCCAAAAAACCAAAAAAAAAAATTACAACTTTGGAGAACAAACCAACGACCTAGTGCTCAACACTACCAAGTCTCTACCACTGCGCCACACACTTATTCACGTCTATATATAATATGCTATTTTTTTATATCAACATTCCGTAATCTTATATTGCATATTTTAGCTACTAAATGAACTTAAATGAAAAAAAACTTTTAACTACAAAGTTTTAGATCTTGTGAAGTACTACAACTTTGGTATAGGATGTATCTTCATCAGAGATAGTTTGAAAAATAAAAAAATTGAGTCTCATAATATGTGAAATTCAAACACATATTTGAGACTCTAGGTGACTTTAAATCAAAAACTTCTCAATACCAAACATGTAGATCAGGTCGGCCACTAGAATTTTTGTATTGACTATGTGAACATTTGAGATCGTTTAGGAATTCAAAATTTTAAATTTCAAAGTCTGTGCACTTACAACAATATTTTGGGAAGTTAAATTGTTTCAATTCAAAAAAAATTCAACTACAAAGTTGTAGATCTCGTTGAGAGCTATAATTTTGATATAAAGTTTGTCTTCATCCGAGTTTATATGAAAAAATTATGAATTATTTTTGGTTGGCTTACATTGCCCACTTCGATTAACCCATTAACGGAGACGGTTGTCGTAAGGCAACCGCCTCGATTAATCGTGGATTAACTGTGGCAGTTGGTTTACGTTGCCCGCCTCGGTTAATGATTAACAGAGACGGTTGCTGGGCCGGCTGCCCGGCCATCCAATAATGGAGGCGGGCAACCGGCCTGCCCGTATCCGAGGCTAAAAGTCAAACCTCGGTTAAGTTTTTATGCAGTGGTGTATAGTCCCTTTTTCGGGCAGGAAGGTGAAGGCAATCCTAGTGAGTAGAAGAGCCCAATGCATGCAAGATCACCGTGCGATCCGATCCGTATATGGTTATTAGACAATGACGTGCCGAATCTAGAAAATTAATCTCGTACGTAACACATGCATGCCAACAATCAATCGGGTTCCTCGAATCTGTACGTGCGCCACCACGACCCTCACTGTCCTACCCGTCCGTCCGTCCTCTCGTTCTGATGATCCAGATGACCAGATCCTTTCTCGATCGCCACTGAAGCACGCAGCTAGATAATGCTAGCTGTAGATTTTACGCCCACGCGGCCACGCGTATATATGCCTGATGTTGGCGGCTTTCATCTGACGGCGACGCGTAGCGGCGTAGATCGATGGATTGCAAAATTAAAGACCAAGGGCTACCTGGTTGCACTGTAATGAGAAGAAAAGGCACAACACCTGCCACAATCGCTGAAAAAAAAAAGAAAAGGAAAGGAAAGGAAAGTAACAACAAATTTATATACCGCCTCAATAAGAATAAAAAAAATCAGCTAGTGAGCTGACAAATTAAAGCGTCCGGTCCGGCCGTGGGCAAGTGGAACGAACGACCGTACCGATCGGAAATGATCTGAACGACCCTAATGCCCATATCTCCAGCCACTCGTGGACCGAAACATTGGCCGCCGGTAAAAGGTGCGGAGGCCGGACAAGGGCCCTCGGCGGCTCGGCGACCACGGTACCACCAGCTAGCCAGCTCGACGACACTGCGCCTGCGTGCATGCATGCTCTCCGTCCGGCGGCTCCGCCGAATGGACGTCCCTGCTGTGTCCGTACTCCACACGGCCGCCGACAGGCGCGTGCGCGCCCCGGCGTGGCGGGCAGGGACGTCTGCGCGCGCTGGCCGCCGGCATATGATGCGCAGGCGGCTTCGTTTGGGATGGGAATCAGGTGGATCACGACGTGATCGCGCGCGGCGGGCCATCCGTACGTGATCTTGATTTCGCCGCACGCACGCAGGCGCAGACGCAGACGCAACATGGTGGTTTTTTGCTTGTCCGGGTCGTCTTGACGGCGACGTAATTTTCAGGTCAAGATTAAGGCCTTCACTCTCTCCATTATATCAATTTTTGAACCTATGCATGGAGCATTAAATATAGGTAAAAAATTAACTAATTACACAGTTTGGTTGTAAATCACGAGACGAATCTTTTAAGTCTAGTTAGTTCATGATTAGATAAAGTTTGTCAAATACAAACGAAACGTGCTATAGTGTCCCAATTGCAAAAATTTGCAATCTAAACAAGGCCTAATTATATCCCGTCCGTGGCAGGCGGCTGTCGGCAGTGGACATCTTCCGTGCGTGCGGTGCAGTGCCAGTGCTTGGTCAGGTCAGGTCAGGTCAGGTCAGGTCAGGTCGTCACAGCCACAGGTCAGCGGGGAGGAGAATGCAACGCCGTGCGACTTTCGTCACCTCCATTATGAACTGATTAATTGCAACCGACCCTAGTTTTTCACATCCCCGTCGAAAATCTCCCGTCATCTCAATTTGGTGACAGCATCTCCAGCACTACTAAAACAGGTACAATCCCCTACTTTTATAATAGGTAGCCACACATTTTAATACTACTTAATTTTTTTGTTATTTTCTCCACAAAAAAAACAGGCCTCCTAAATCCATCCGAATAAAGAATGACATGTGAGACGCACATGTCATCATCATCCTTCTCCATCGCCATTGTAAAACTCAACCATCTCAAGCGCTCACGCGGGAGGGCTGTCGCTAGGGCATCCACTGATGGGGAAGGGGCGGAGGAACTCGGTGGGGCACTCCACGCAGCCTCGCCATGGCCTCCGGCGGATGGGAGGAGTAGGGTCTAAGGGATGCGGCGGCGGGGAGGAGGCGCGATGGCCTGACGGGGCAGAGACGCACGCTAAGGGAGGTGTCGGGCGTTGGCGGGGAGGAAGAGGCCAGCGGCGGCCAGCGAGGAGGTCGACGAGCGCGCGAAGAAACATCCGGTAGCAGGGGAGGAAACTACCAAAGAAATTTTTAGGTAGCCACTTGTTGGCCCAGTAGGAACGGTTAGTGGGAGGGGAAGAGTAGAGGGGAAACAAATTTGGGTGGCCTAATACATAGCCTGTTGGAGTGAGTTTTTTTTTTGCCTCCACTACCCAAAAATAGTATAAGTAGTCTGCTAGAGATGCTCTGAGGATGCTATAAGAAAAAACAATCCTAGTTTTGCAATGTCATGTCTTGTTGAAAAAATTATACTATACTAAAAGGAATAAGCTAAGATTTGAGTGAAAAATCTGCACTACCACACTACAATTTTAAGTAATGCCCGTTTGGAAGAAAAAAAAGAAGTTAATGTTAACTTGTGCTAGATTTAGACTGGACTTGTATTAGAGTTGTGGTGTTTATTTTGGGTGCAATTTCTAAGTAGAATTGGTACGGTGCAACTAAAGATTCAGGGCAAATTTTTCTCTCCAGCAACCCAATTTTACCTACTGTTAAGTTATGTCAAATTTACCTTATACTTGTGCTAGAGTTATGGTTATTATTAGTGTAATTTATGGGTAGTTGTCTAACTAAAAACTCAGGGATAGGGACATAATATTTCACATGATTATTACAACACATTAAGACCATGTTGGCTTCTCGACTTCTGAAGCCGTTTGAAGGCGTGCCAAATGAGGTAAAATCAAATTGCTTCACCTAAGAAGTCCCTTAAATCATGCTCTCACAAAAAAATATGGAAGGTGAAGCTAAAAATAATGGCTTCACTTAGCTCTGGTGGCCCTACCGGGGTTCTGTGAGCATGTTTTAAAAAACTCTACATATAGAGCCGTTTTAAGCCGAAGACAAAAATAATGGCTCCAATGATGAAGTGGAGTCGTGACAAATGGGACCTTAATATTAGTTTGGAACTCTTGGTTAGAAATTTTAGGTGTGGAGCGACATTTTTGGCCGAGTCATGATATTGCAAAACTGAATTCCTTGTTTATATCGTGAAAACATTTCTATGGTAAATCTACAGACACCAACTGTGTGTTGTCTATCGGATAAGCAGGATTGCGCGATTTTTGTTTTTTAATCCATCCCGTAATAATAGGAAAGGAATCAGATCGTTCGGATGCTCATTTTTTCAGCGCTGCAACTCTTCTTTTGCTTTTTCAACAGTGTTTTGCTGTCTGCAGCTGTGAATGAGCCGCTTGTCATTTCTCTCTCTATTTCCTTCAAGTTGTTTTTCTTTCTCAAGGATGTCAGACATTCATCAGCACTAAGTCGACAATAATTAGTCGTAAAAACCTATTAAAAACATATAGGCCCTGTTTAGATTGCAAATTTTTGCAACCCGGACACTGTAGCACGTTTCGTTTGTATTTGATAAACTTTGTCCGATCATGGACTAACTAGGCTCAAAAAATTCATCTCGTGATTTACAACCAAACTATGTAATTAGTTATTTTTTTTACCTACATTTAATGCTCTATACATGCGTCCAAAAATTGATGTAATGGAGAGAGAATGAAAAAACTTGGAATTTGGAGGTGATCTAAACAAGGCCCTAATAACAAACAAAGCACAAGGTAGATCAAGGCGCCTGAGCTGTCTGCCTACGTCAGCCACCCTGCTACACCTCGCACCCTTGGTCCTGTAGCTTGTCACCGCCGCCGCCTCCTCCTCCGTCCGCCACACCGCCCTCCTCGGCGTCGTAGCTGGCGTGCACGCTGTAGAGCACGTAGACCAGCACGGCGGCGGCGGAGAAGACGCCGAACCGGGCGTACGACGGGCGGTCCAGCGAGCCGAGCAGGAAGACGTTGAGGAAGACGGACGCGGCGGGCACCCAGGGCATCCCGGGCACGCCCCACAGCTCGGGCTCGCGCGCCTGCGGCACCAGCGCCTGGAACGCGGCGACCGCGGCGACGGCGGCCGCCGCGGTCCCAGACAGGAGCCCGAACTTGGTTGCGCCCCCCGGCGCGAACTGCCACAGCAGCGTGAAGGAGAGCGCGATGAGGGAGAAGAACCCGATGAACGCTAGCGTCGGCCACGCCCTCCTCCCCTGCTGCTGGGCGGAGCCGGAGATGGGGCAGGGGTCGCCCACGTAGCGGCGGTACACGACGGCGTTGGCCACCATGTAGAAGACGAAGAGCGTGCCGATGGAGACGAGGTTCAGGAGCACGTCCAGCTCCGTGAACAGCGCCAGCGCCGCCGTCAGCAGGCCTGCACGGACATTGTCAACCCTCAGTGATTGTCAACGCAGGGCGCTTCGATTCATGTGACTCGTTGACTCGTTTCCATCTAGTCACATACGACGACGACGACGACGACACGGGACCCAGAAACCCGTGTCCTGTTCGCTTCGTCACGGGAGCCGGGACGGGAGACCCGCGGCGCGGCTCGCCTCGCCGCTGTCGGCTGTCGCCTCTACTCACGAGAAGCCCGAGGCGCTGACTGACAGGGCAGAGGCAGGGAAGGAAGGAGGCGTGCAGTACGCACCGAGGAAGGCGGAGGCGTTGACGGGGGTGGCGGTGCGGGGGTCGACCCTGGCGAGCCAGGCGGGCACGACGCCGGAGCGGCCGATGACGCACAGGTACCGGGCCTGCCCCAGCATGGCCACCATCAGTGACGTGAGGATGCCGAGGCTGGCGCCGGCGCCGATGACGTTGGACACCCACGCCATCCCCTCCCGCCCCTTGAACGCCCCCGAGAACGGCGCCTCCGGGTCGATCTGCACGACAGGAAAACAGCATCCGAAACCAGGTGAGAAATCAGCCACAAGTCCATGTCAGTACATGTCTCCAATATGTCCCACTAGGAAAGCAGAATAGTGAAATTCCAAGATGCTTTTTTTTTGTTCTTTCAATCCCAGAAAGTTGCAGGACGTCCTCTGCGATTGCGATTGGGACAGCAGAGCAGATTCGTCCCAGATCGCACGACCAACATCCCCAAAAGTGTGGAGGCCAGTGGCACTATCACTGTGGCTGCCGACCTCATGTCCTCTTTCACTTGGGACTTGAACGGTAGTACGTCAGGGATGACACGCAGCCAAGGCGAGCACACTGACGTACCGCGTCGTAGGGGAGGAGCATGGACATGGAGGCGGCCATGAGGCAGTAGAGCGCGGTGACGAGGACGACGGAGCCGGAGACGCCGGCGGGGATGTCGCGGTCGGGCCGCTCCACCTCCTCGGCCATGGTGGACACGGCGTCGTAGCCGATGTAGCTCAGGTACACCGCGGCCGCGCCGTTGAACACGCCCGCCGCGCCGTGCGGGAAGAAGCCGCCGGGATTGTGGGCCAGGTCGGCGGGGCGGCTCAGGTTGCGCGCGTCGCCGTGCGCGAACCCCATCACGATGATGAAGAGGATGAACGCCACGTGCACCCCCGTCAGCACCAGGTTCACCACCGAGCTCTCCTTAGTGCTGCGCCCGACCATGGGAAAGGAGGAATTCGTCGATGGTCAGCAGTTAGCACTCAGCAGAAAATCTGGAAATGGTTGGCAAAACCGTCTACGACGAAACTATTTGTCGAATTTTTTTATTTTTGATAAGGATGATGATGCTTGCGGGAAAAAAAACTTTGCTTTGCATTGCCACTACAGATTTTTTTTTTTAAAAAAAAAAACTTTGCATCATGCCAGAAAGGATGATGGGCAAGATTCTTTCCTTTCTGATGACAGAATATTAAAAATTTCCAGAACAGATAGAACTGGAGATGTGAATCGGTTCCACTTGCTCTGAACAAGATCACAACTGGTGGCAGATCAGAACAGAGCAGAGCAAGCAATGAAATCAGCAACAAGACCACCAGATGCACCTACACCGATCAGGCGATGAAAATTTGGACGAAAAGGATATTTTTATATTGTAAAAATGAAAAAATTGGATCAAATTGTCCATAATGGATACTAAAATATTTGAACTGAAGTTTGGACTCTCTGCAGGAAAGAACTCTGGGCCTTGTTTAGATGGTAAGTTTTTTCGCTCTCTCTCCGTCACATCAAATATTTGGACATATTGAGTATTAAATATAGATAAAAAAAATAACTAATTACACAGTTTGATTGTAAATTACGAGACGAATCTTTTGAGCCTAGTTAGGCCATAATTGGATAATAATTGTCAAATACAAACGAAAGTACTACAGTGCCAAATACTGATCCTAACTCCAATCTAAACAAGGCCCTGATATGGCCAAAAAGTTGTGTGACAGCAAGTGCAGAATAGACGAGACTGAGAACCAACAGAAAAGACAAGTAGAATGACACTTGTAGGTAAAACCTCTATCTATAAAGACAAAGCAGCGTTTTCCTACCAAAATAATTTTTTGAGAGAAAAGATAAATTTAAATGAAAATGACACACAGGCATTGACCTCTGACTATACAAGTAACAGTGGTCAACATAGTAACGGACCTGTAGCAGATGCAGACGGAGAGCAGGAGGATGACGCCGACGGCGACGAGGTCCACCTGGTTGAACCCCTCGGGCAGGCCCGGCACGGGGATCCGCCACTTGCTGGGCGCGTCCACGCCGACCGCCGTGCCCAGGTACGCCGTTAAGCTGCGCGCCACGGCGGCGTTGGAGAAGACGTACTCCATGATCAGGTTCGCGCCCGTCAGGAACGCCGCGAACTCCCCTGCATGCCAACCATGGCAAACCACATAGGTTCATGGTCATGGTCTCATGGACTGAACTGAAGAACATGCATGATGCACACATATACTGCTGTAGTATTAGCAGTCGCTGTCCATTGTTGCTACATGGACGGAGTGCAGAGAGTGGGGGTGGCATCCAAAGCACAGGGCAGTTTTCATGGTGGTTCTGGAAAACGAGTGGCATATATGGATGCATCTAGCTCTTCTTGGACGAAAGTCCAGGCTCCAGCATTATTTGGATATGGATGTTTGTGTGAGTCACTCATAGAAATTGTTGAGTCGCAATCTAACTTTTTCCTCTGTTGTTCATGCTGCTGGTGTTTCTGAAATCTGAAGGGGAAAAAAATTGGTCTACAGAATGTTGTGCTTCCTTATTAGATTCTATAAATGTAGAGAAACTCTGAAGAGAAAGAACCGAAAACAGTGTCAATAATCAAATACTCCCTCCATCGCAAAATAAAGATATTTCTAGCTATGTATCTAGACAAGCGTTTTTCTAGCTAGAAATGCATTTATTCTAAGACAGGAGGAAGTATACAGTGTCATAGATAGAAAATTACTAGTATAGTTTTTTTTTTTTTTTAAAGAGAGGAGACATCCAAAGAATCAACAGGGACAGCTCAAGGATACTTTAAGGTGGCTTCACTCATACACTGCTGATACACATGAATACTTGCATATGTAGGAGTAGCTTTTATTTGGCAACTTGACGAGCTGAAAGCAGAGAGCAGAGAGCACGTATGCACTTGGCTGAGATAACCATCAAATATTTAATGAGAAACAAAACCATCCTTCTCAACTAACGTATGATCAGTCCAGCGTATGTCGTCAGTCTCGGTCCCCAATGCCGTAAATCGCACGAACAGGATCGAACCGAGACGAAATCGAGCGACTATAAAAAACAAAACTCCCAGTCGATTGATCGAGAAATGCCAAAGGCCAGCCAAGGTTTTTAATTCCGGCGAGTACGACATGGCCGAAAGTCGCCATCTTTGGCTGCGCAGCGGCGGCGGTAGTGGCGCAGTGGTCACTCACCGAAGGTGACGCGGAGGTAGCTGAAGGCGCCGCCGGCGACGGGCATGTCGACGGCGAACTCGGTGTAGCAGAAGGCGGAGAGCAGCGCGCAGAGCCCCGCAATGGCGTAGGAAACCACGACCCCGGGCCCCGCGTAGAGCCGCGCGGCGCGGCCCGTGGTCACGAACACCCCGGCGCCGACCATGCCGCCCAGGCCCAGCCCCACGAGATCCCACCACCGCAGCGCGCGCGCCATCCGCGGGCCGGAACGTGCGCGGACGCGGCTCATCTCCTCGCGCGGCGCCGTCGCGGCGCACGCGCGCCGCGCCAGGCGCCGCGGCGTCTGCGCCAGCGCCCGCCCGTACGCGCGCAGCCCCGAGAACGACGAGCCCCCGCCGTCGTCGGTGTTCTCCGCCGCCACCAGCGCGGCCTTGTCCATGGCGGCGGCGCGCGGGGGTTTCTCCGGGATCCGGGGGAACGGGACGGGAGGAGGCGAGGAGAGTGGGGAGTTGAGGTGGAGCTGCTGCTGCGGTATTTAAAGAAGCTCAAGCTGAGGGCGCGGCGGGCTGGAAAGGGCATCGGGTAAATAAAACAGTAAATGCAGTTTTTTTTTTTGGAAAACAAAAACAGTAAATGCAGTAGTGTTCTAAAAAAATGTACTGCTCTAATAATTGTATCTTTCTGATTAATATATGTGGACATTGTACTGTTTGTCAAGATCTATAGACAAAAACACGTTTATTTTGGGACGGTCGTAGTGTTCTTCTTTTTTAAAAGAAAACAAGATCTGATAAAAAAAAACAAGATGAAAATGGTTTAAATCTCTTGAGACCTTAGGTAAGCACCTGTTGAAGAATAGGTAAGCATTTTTTTATCGCGCATGTTGCTCATGCCTCCAACCAACCAAGCTGAACACAGATAGATTTCTCATTGCAAAATTAAAGCTGTGACGTTTTTATAAGCTGTGCGAGAATCTTGTCACTTACGAAATGTCTATGACAGAAACCGTATCCAAGCTCCAAAGCACTCCCTCGGTCCACTAAATGATGCAACTATAGAATTTATGCAAGTGAAACTATTTTAACTTTAACTAAGTTTATAAAGAATAGTATTTATTCATATCTTAAACTAGATTTTCTATACAAATATATTTTATAATTAATTAATTTAATGGTACTTTGTTTGTATTATAAATATTAGTACTTTTTTTATATATCTTTGGTCAAACTTTAAATCATTTGACTCATTGAAAAATAAGAAGCACAGCCTTTTGTGGATAGATGGAATACTACCTCTATCTCAAAGCAAATGCAATTCTAGCTCCAAAGTAATACCTCTATCTCAAAACAAATGTAATTCTAGATTTATTCTAAGTCAAATTGTCATAAATTTTATCAACCGTATAGAGAAGAATATAAACATATGTGACACTAAGTTGGTGTATCATGATAATTTATTCATGATGAATCTATTGATATATTTCTCTATCATAAGTATTTATGTTTTTATATTTGATCAAACTTAAGTTGCTTTAGCTAATATGGATGGAGAAAATCCACCAATATCCACTGGGTAACAGCTCATACACTCCTACTTATCCTCAAATATCATGCGTCCATTAATGTCCTGTTAGATTACAACAAGGGCTCATTTGGATTTATTAATGGTGATAGTTAGACCTAAACATTTTGTGTACTAGGCTAGACTCTTAAAAGAAATTAGTTTAGCCTAAAATTTGTGCCCAGTAACATTCCACAGAGAGTTTTGGGCCTCATTTTTTTGGTTTCGGAACGGGGCAGACCGTCCTCTGTTTTTGTTTAAGAAATATTTTGAGCCAGACTCAAACTAAGATTATTTTTTGGCTCACGTCCAGAGGCCCTGTTAAGTAAGGCAGGTGGGTCGAGTCAGGGCGAACTAGTGAATTTATGGAAGATGGGAGATAACCAGAGATCGTGCATTGCGCCAATCATCAGAGGGATCAGAGATCGTAGTGCTGTTTTTCATGCTTTCACTTTGGTGTATGCCAATAGATCCTGTAACCACGTAGCTCATGTGTTGGCTAAGCGGTCTCAGATAACACTAGGGTGGGTGAGTGGCAATCAGCCCCGCCCTGTGTTCTCCATCCCAAAGATTGTAATCCTTCTATTCTGTGATTAATAGAAGCTATTGAGTCGCTAAAAAAAAGGTCTAGTAGTAAAGTTTTTGGTTAACAACTAAATTAGCAGGTGAGGGCCCAAACAAACCTGTTAAATGCTAATAGACCTATCAACTATTAGGTGGTGAGAAGTTTCCATCAGTTAGTTCATTATTAATTGTTGGAGGTGTGCCAATACATACCCCCATTCAACTAGCCAACCATCTATTAACAGGTGAATCTAAATAGTTCATGTTAATAATTAATAGGTAGGTAGGTAACTATTACTAATAGCTATAGTTAGCTAACTGTTACCACGAGTAGATCTAAATAGTGAAATACACATCACGGGTTCCTGTCTTTGCTTTTATTGCTGAGAGCGATTAAATGTCCGATATTCAGTCGCTATATAGGATTTTACCTGATAGGGACAATGCGGGGATTGATAATCTGATATCCTTTTTGCGCGTCAGTAGTAACTTCTGTCAGGTCCTCCCCAACGGCTGACAAGTTTGCTAGCTAGAAGCAGCACCTGTCCAATCACAATGAGAGAGACCCAGAAAACTCATCTACATAGCGCCGACGCAAGCTCTCAGCTCACACATCTCCCAAAGTTTTCCAAGTCACTCACACTATGTAGAAAACCCTTTTCAGGGGCGGTTGGTGACGCTATGTAGGGGCGGTTTTGCCAGCCGCCCTTATGAAAGAGTGGCTATAAATCGTTGATTTATAGGGGTGGTTGGTGTTATTAGTCGCCCCTACAAATCGATTTGTAGAGACAGCTGGTACTGTAGCCGCTCCTACAAATCGATTTATAGGGGCGGTCTGGGAACACCAGCCGCCCCTACAAAACGATTTGTAGGGACGGCTACAGTACCAACCGTCCCTACAAATCATTTTTCCGCCAAAAAAAATTAAATTTACAATTCAAATTCGACCCGAACATATATTTTTCAATTAGCATTAAAGATAAACAAGTAAACTAACCAACCTTGTTCTGCCTCAAAACCATATGAACTTTAACTATGTCAGATATATTTACATATGGAGCAAACCATTTTTATATGGAAAGGGAATTTTCATAATTTCGTCAAACATACCATAGCCGCACACAAAGAACTCAGACTAAAAAAAAAAATAGAAATACAAAGTAAGGCAGATTGCATCATCTTTGCCTTAAACCACTATAGGAATGTATAGAAATTACTGAGTACACCGAGTTCTGACCACTAGTGTGCTTAACAAGATGCTTTACCTGCATTATGAACTTCAAATAGTTGTTGATAGCATAGAGAAAAGTAGATACTGCAAGAAGAACATTATTGCGACCAGCCTGGCCAGTGAAGAAGGATGGTTAGTGTGGTGGACAAGATCACTAAATTCGTATAGTAATATTTCAGAGCAAATCAATTGAGACCTATGGACCACAGGAAGTAGTAAAAGATTCACTGTACAGTTTATGTAGAAGTTTACATGAGCTCTCTAGTCAGATGCGATATTATGCATCAAAATGACAGCATATGGTTAGGTAATCAAGGTCCTATTCTCTTCAGAACTAGCACGCATTTCCAACATATGGGTTTTTCAAGAGAACTATAAACTCAAGATACAAATCAGGAAGGAACTGATCTTATCCAAACTATAAACATGGCATAGTTTCAGTCTTGCAAGTCATATTACCTGCATAAATATTGATACTGTGAGGAGTGGCTTGTCTCCCACCTTTAGACGTCTAGCCTGCAAAAGAAAAAAACCAACTCAGTAAGCAAAGCAAAGACTGTTGTATTTTTTTGAAGCAACCTAGATACAGGTGCATATGCATTACAACGCGTAGTTACATTTAAATATCAATATATGCCGTAGGAACAATTTTTTGTGAACCTTGACAGTGATGTGAGATGGGCATATTGAATCATTTCTAAATCAAAATCCTACAGTCAAATTCTTACTCTAAGTTAGAAGACAAAATCAACTACAGAAATAGGTTATCAGGTATGTAGTGTTGAACTTAGTCACCTCTGCTGCTCTTTGGAGCTTATGGAAGCTAAGAGATGACCTTTATTTTCAGAATGTAGGCTGGAAAGGGATGGATATCCTGCTGAACAAGATTGCTTTTATGGCACAGAATTGGCTAATTTATGCCCGGAGAACAAAAGGGATGCTCTGTCAAGAATTGTTCTGGAGATCAAGAGGAAAGCTTCTATAACTCTGTGGCTTCCTCCCTGAAGAACATGGTGGGTCTGAACGTGTCTCTGGAGAAGTTGCAAGTGATGGGATAGGATGCAGAGTTATCTCAAGATGAAGCCGGAGCTAGTTCCTCCTCCGGGTGCAATCCAAGACTGGGGCGCCTGCAGGCTGGTTTGAGTTTCTGTCTGTCAGTCTTGTATGGGTGTGGTGCAGCATCTGTAAGTCCCCTGTACTAGTCTAATTTAGTCACAAAGACTCCTTTTTAACATTCCTCACAAAATAAAATTACTACACTAGGATGACACTGCCCAAGATGAGATGGAGGATAACCAGCGATATGCAACCCGCTGAGATGCTGGCAAAGTGGCAAACTCATATGCTAGTTTATAAGTAGTCAAAGGGAACTATTCTGTTTCAGATTGTAATACTAATGGACCATGGCCCCCCTAGAACTCTAAAAAAACCAGAAAATGCATGTGAATGTGAATCTAAAAAGAATGTACTCTTAGTCTGTGAGCACTATAGGATGGTTTGTGAGCACATCAGAAGTCTTTGCCTGTGAGCAGGTACTACACAAATGTCACTACAAAACTCATCAGGCTATCTTAAGGAGAAAAGGATACAACACAATCAGGTAATATAGACACAAACTAGGATACTTTTTTTTATTCCGTTATCTGGAAAAACATTTGAGTGTGTGCACATGTGCACCAAATTCTATGATTCAGTAAGCTATTTTCTCGAGCCCAAATGAATTAGTTATATACTAAATAAATCAGAAGAAAATGATTATAGAATAGACACTGCTGAAACAAAAATCTGAATCTGAACTCTGAGTTAGGGATCAAAATTATCAAACTTTAGGACCTTTTATCTCCTGAACCATTGAGAGTTAGACCTGAAACCTTAAACCAAAATGGTAGAGCTATATACCAAGAATGATTGTTGGTAAAGCCAATTAAGAAGCCAATTAAGTTGTTTACACATGAAATTGATTGGAATGGATCAATGAACAGAATTGGTTCAGGGTCTAAACAGTAGGTATTTGACTTGAAATAACACATATTCACATTCGAGAGGCAACAATACTGGTGCTAAACTAGCCACATATAGCAGAC